AAACATATACCCGCGCAATAATATGTACATTATTTTCTCAGGTTCGAACCATCCGCAGAGGAGCATCGCACGCCGTTCCACTGGACAAGGGCAGCCGATAATATTATTTTTTTGTTCATCGTGCTATTAATGTTGATATAGTAATCGTACACATAGGTTTTTGTCGTTTATAAAATAATATAGTATGGTATTGGCGTTTAGAATTTTTAAAATTTCTAATAAAATAATATTTTTTTTTTAAACCAGTTGAAATTGTAAGGCTTGTGAATGAAAATTAGAACAGTCAATTGTAAAATCCATCAAGATTAATTAATTTTTAATTAACTTATAATACTTATAATTAACTTATATTTTAATAAACTTAATCATTACCAAAAATAAATAATTTAAATAAATATTAATTTGGTTTTTATCAAATTCCGTTATAACTTTAATGTAATAATTAAAAACAAAGAATCAAAACTTTCCAAGCTTAAAATTTGAACTTAAACACTTGAAATTTAAATTAAAACGCTCGTATCTATTTTAAGTCTTTTCATATAATATTATAAATGAACACGACCATACAAAAATATTTAATATATTATTATTATCAGCATTCGTGTTATGTAACACAATCTATACCATACAAATGTGATATAATATATGTATACAATTTTTTTTTCGTGTCAACTAAATCGGTCATTAAAATGACATAATATGCGTCTGATGAATGATACACGCGAGAAAGGGTATACAAGTACATACCATTATACGTCTTTAGTGAAGAGCTCAGATTACTAACGAATTAGTGAGGATTAAACGAGTTTTAAGGAGATTCTCCCTACTTGTGTATTATCCGTGTACAAAATATAATAACAGATCCACATAAATGATAAATCATAATTAAATATAATAATAATAATATTCATAAAGAATCCACACAACGCGAGATTATTAATTTTCTGAACCATCGTGTGTAAATTTAGCTTTGAATATTGTGATGAAATACAGGTTCCTATTATTAGAATGGTTATGAAAAAAAAAAAAAAAATAATAATAATAATAATAACCTTAGATCATATTTGATGATCCCATGGAACATTCAAGTCACTAGCCCACGGGATTTCATCACGACGAATGAGTGATTCCTTGTGTAATAGCACAATAATTAAGTCAAAAAACCAAAACTTAAAATTAATGATAGGTTAATAACCGAGACTATTAATCTGCCGACACTACTATCTAATTTCATTATACGATACTCCTACGAGTTTTTTACAGTAATATTTTATGACTGTTTTCGTTTGCAATAAACTGTCTCGTTTGATCACTCGGAACTGAGTGGATTGCTCATGAGGTATTAATATTTTTAATAAAACTAACACACCACAGTTTTATGTGATACCAAATTTTTTATTTGTTTCAATTCATAACGTTATAGCTGTCGCTTGTCAATTTGCATAAAAAATTAATTACATAATTAACAGTTAAGCAAACTAACTTATGTGCTTAATTATATGTGTAAAACGATAATAATAATATTAATAATAGTTATGTTATTTTTAGTTGTTAATATGTTCATAAAAAAAAAAACTTTTGCATTGAGTGTCTCCTCAGATTTAAAAATAATTACCCTCTGACTTAACACAATCAATTAATAAGTCACGCCTTTGTTTTTCAAATAGATAAAACAAGTTTGTAACTTATATTAAATAATGCGTTAGTTAATACTGTAATAAAATGCCATGCAGATTAATAAAATAATTGAAGATTCGGTTTAATCCGCATAATTAAAACAGATAAGTATAGAGTTCTATCTAAGAAAATATTAATTTGTTTTTTAGATATTGAGTTAAAAATTTAATGAGATTTTAACGGTATTTTATATATAAATCTTGTATGAATGCTATAAATCATTATAATATATTTGTTAAAAGTTTAAATTGAAGCTTGAGTAAAATTAGAATTTAAGTATTTAATGTAGATAAATTTATTTATTAATAAATTACAATATTAATACGACGTGTGTACATGTGCTAACATTGTTAGAATATTAATATTAATTATATATTTCAACAATATTATTTATTGTTTGGCAGGTAATAGTTTCGTATAATATATGATTATGTCATGAACCTAATGAAAAATTAAGGTAATTTGTTATGCCAAACAAAACACTCATATTAATAGTTAATTAATTTAAAGCAAAAAACATCATTACTTGCGACGATGTTCTTTTGATATAAATAGTAAGCAACGACAAATTATAATGAATTTTTGTCTTTCAAATAACTTTAAATTTAAATTTCTCTAGGATTTCCTTTTAATTATACTATGCCAAGCCACCTTCACGCGAATCGATTTTATAATAAGATGCACAAAAGCGTACACAATAGAAGATTTTGGATTACAACTGAAATGGATAACGTGGCAATAATAATATAGAAATCGTTAATTGTGAAACTCAATGCTCATACAAAATCACTAGAGGTAAGATTAAAAACACCATTTATTTCATAGAAAAACGCGTGAGGGTAATAAGCAAAGATGATCGTAGTTGTGAAGTGAAACATGTATCCAAAACGATATCTAACACATGTAAATTAAAATGTCAATTTAAAATAGAACAGTTGTTATATCAGTTTGGATAAATGGGTAGTTTTTCGTTATCATCAAATTGATGAAAAAAATTTAAATAATATGATTTCGAGTTATTTGCAGCGTTAAATTTATATAGGTCATTAATCGATTACAACGCAATACATATTTCTTTTTAACATATATTTTTTTTAAAAATGTGCTAGCACGGGTACTGTAAACGTTACGTGATTATATTATTATAATATCATAACAATACATTACGTTCAATAATAACTCTATTACAATATTATAATAGCATACGCGGTATAATACTAGTAAGACGCAGGCGATTCATTTTAAACTCAAGAGTAAGTCGGAGTGGTGGTCAAGATTATGACGGAATTTTCAAACAGTTGTCGCGTGAATTATTCTCGAGATGACACCAAGGATTGGCGGACGAACGTCGCGTGTGCGATATTGAAATCGCAACAAAAAAGCAGTACCCATAATAATATGGTACACTAGATAGATACCGTACGCCTTAACGAACACCGCGATACGAGTGACTGGTAGACGGTGGTTGATTGGATGAGAAAAAAAAACGTCTACCGTCGAACACCGAAAATCATTTCGTTTAAAATCTTTCTACGTACGCGCACACAAACGTAGTCGGACCAGACCATACGTACACCTACAAATAGCGATTTGTTTGTGGATTTAACGTATCAATCACTTCGGTCGGGACCGGCGTCAATATATACGTATACGTATAAATTAATCACGTTTGGACAACGGGCGGATTTCTATCTCGAGAACGAAAGAGAGAGAGAGAGTGAGTGAGACAGAGGGAGAGAAAGAGAGAGAGAGAAAGAGAGAGAGAGAGAGAGAGAGAGAGTTTAATTAATTGTCCCTTGTGTGCGAGCGGCACGGGTTGTCCGACGATGACGGCCCCGCTCGAGATGATAGCCTGTCCTGTCGTGTACGTTTATCGTCGCTGAACTAATCGAATTCTTCTCTGACGTACAATAATAATGACATAGTATACCTACTAATTTATTCAGTCCGTCGGAAACTATGATATAATTATTCGAAATACACTGATTTTTTTTTTTTCGAATTCATTACGCATTATTGTTGTTATACGCGTGTCCCGGTCTCCGGTATCTGCAGGTTAGTGGGTGTAAAATGTCACTGGCGATGCAGTGTTGTGTATATACCGATAGATCTATGCGACGGGTAAAATATTACGCTATTTAGATTTCTGTGCCCGAAACTAGATTAAAAGTTACGCGGGAATAGTAAGGATTCCGTGGACTTCTCGTACAACGATTAGAATAGAAAAAAAATAGTTTTGGATTATGAGCGGAACGTATGGACGTCCTCCGAGAGGAGAAGACAGGGCACTTGCTCCTCCCCCTAGAATTTTAAATTTGTTACCTAACCAAAGTAATTTAATGTAATAATGACGAAACATATTGATGTGAAATAAAATGTATAATAATAATAATAATAATATATACCTAATTGTAACAATGACAAAACATAATAATGTACTATAAATAAAATGTATGAAAAAAATATTTATTTATTTTTTAAATTAATTTTGTCCTCTTCCGCTAGAAAAATTTCCGAGAACGCCCATGATGGAACGATAAATGTACTGATTTTACAATATTATGTGTGTATAAGTAGTGTAAAAAAAAAAAAAATTAGAAAATACGAGAACTTTCACGCAAAATCAGTTGACGACAAAATCGGGTTTTTTATTGATGTAAGTAAAAAGGAATATCTGTAGATACTTGACATTTCCATTAAATGTTTATATTATTAAGATATTATATAAAAAATATAAATAACACAATTCTAAAAATATTTTGAGTAAGTTGATATTCCTACGGATTTCGATAAAAATGTTTTTGTTGTTGCATCATTTTTCACATGCAATTATTTATCATTGAATTTAAATGTAACATATTAGGTACTCATTTAGTGATTTACTCAATAATGAAGTACATTCGATTTCTACTGTACAGCAGAGCGATTACTTTCTTCCCTCGCTTTTTTCAAATATATTTATTTAAATTATCCTCCAAAACAAAACAAAATCAATCTCTATAGAAACATAAAGTAAACAATTGTCTTTTATTGTTGTTTATTTAATAGTTAATTTCAGTGTTGTTTAGTCATAATTTTATAAGCGTTTTCGTATATATATACTAAATATGTATTATTTAATTATTGGATTTTCATTTGGCATTATTGCCACGTATGGGCTACTAAAAAGAAAATATTTTCATATCGTGTTGTATCGTATTTTTCAAAATTACTGGAAAACGATTAGATGTGAGGGATCGAACGCTGCTGAAGTACAAGTCAATTTACCACTAGTAGAAGGCTCTGTATCGGGATATATTGATAAAAACATATTAATTGAGGAATTTGAAAAAATGAAAGAAAATAATTTGGTATTAGAAAAAAGATTGACAGAATTATCAGGTTATAATTGTTATACGTGGTGGATAATTTTAATTTTTACTACGCAAATATCTAATGTAATTAATATTGTACAGATATGGTCAGACTCGGCGAAGAGAGCGAAGAGAAACAAATGTCTAAATATCTACAAGTGCGTGTCAAATTAAATTATTTAATTAAATGTAAACATTTTAAAAGAACTCGGTCCGTTAAATTGCTTATAAATAAATAAAATAAAAATATGTTTTTAAGGCATGACTGACGGACATATTATAGATAAAATAAAATATTATAAATAATTTCCATTTCGATTTCAGTTGTGTCAATGTGAAAATTCTCTGTTAACGAACTTGGCTCGACCACACACGCAGACGGGCGATTCGTACGCGTCTTTGGTGCAATATATTCACGACAAGATTGACGAATTTTCAAAATATCAGCAGTGGGTGACAGAGAAAGTTAACGAAAAGCTCAGGATAATTGGGTGCGATATTGAAACGATAAAAAAATATTTTGAAAACGTGTCGAATACAATATTTGATGACCTTGAAAAAAATTTGATTTCTATAAAAAGTAATTAACACTAATCAACCAACGTATTGGTATACGCATTACTTTTGTACGATTTAAAAAAACGCATTTGTTTAGGTAACAGTGAAAAGTCGTTTAGCAAGTATGAAGCACTCGAGACTTGGATTCAAACCCTAGAAAGTAATTTACTTTTATTAAACCTCCTTATGATATTTACGAGAAATCGATATTATTTTTACTACCTATGTTTTTCTATATGTTTATGTGTGCAGAAGATGTAACGAAGAACAATTTAAGTATCATAGCTTTGGATCATTCGTACCAGGCGTTAGAGTTGGCTAGATCCCAAAACTCCGGGTCCGCTAGCATTTTCTCCCCCGATTACAGTCAACCAGGTGCGTTTGTAGCAGCTCCATCAACGGTGACTTATGATAAATCACCAGTGCCGAAACCTCCGGGTCCATATTTCGTACCACCGACACCATTCTGTCCACCACCCCCACCACCACCACCACCACCACCGGCTCCTAAAGTATCGAATGCGGACAAGTCAAGCTCTCAAAAAGTGTATCACCGGATCCCGATAACGACGGAGGTTTTAAAGTCCGTTGTCCTCAAGTCGCCTGGTGAGAGGAAGCTCAAAGGATGTGTATTGTCCCCTAAATAATTATAAAGTCCATTGCGTGAGATTTGAGTGTAGAGTGAACTCATGATGACGTTTACTTTACACATATTATTAGTACCCATATTATCTTTACAGTTTTTTTTCACACTCGATAGTTTATTTATTTTCGTGTAGTCGACGAGGCAAAAAATAAATATTTTTACGCAACTGGTAATTACCATTAAAGCGTACCGATATATTATGTATACTGCTGTACGTTTTTGAAATTACTATAAAATACCGGTTTTAGATTATTATACCTGCAGCTATCTAAAATACTGCGGGGCACAGATGCCGACCAGAAATGTCAAAAATAATGTGTCTCTGAATTTGGTGAACGGAGTGTATAGTGTGTGCACGTTACCACGGGGTTCGTCGTCCGGAAAATGCGTATTCTGAAAATATATTTTACCTAAGCATTCGCGGGTTTCATCAGTTCTCGACTCGGATCGATATGCCGTGTTATATTTACGACGCAAAAACGTTTAAAAACGAACTCGGCCCGCGACGTTTTGTTTTTCGATCCCGACCTTTCAGTATTGTTAAATGCGTCTATGACGTCTGTGGCCTGTGGCGCAGAGTGCACCGGCCGTTATAATATAATGCAATAATACATAGCGTATGGTATATACAGCGGTAGTCGTTTAATGCCTTTGGTCTTTGAATATCCCCGAACGGTACGCGAAATTAATAAAAGAAATAAAAGTGAAAATCGGGGTAAACATTCTTAATGAATCGGTGGACCCCTTTGTTTAGAGCCATAAGTCTCGAGGGGCGGCCTGGAACGAACACATAAAACCATACCTCGTTCCTCCGTCCGCAGTCACCGCACCCAGTGTAATGCGCCGCTGCTTCGGTCATGGAGGCATCAATTGTTTTCAACAGCCCTCACTCTACGATATACACGCAGAACGTTTCACTTCGTTGTTCTTCTGCAATAAATTTCATTTTAATAAATATTTTTCAAACATTATTTTCCAAAATGATTGCTGTAACAGGCACTAGACAGCCACAATATTATCTTATAATGATTAATAGTTATATTTTTATTTCACGTGTGAATTCAAAATTAAAACCGTTGTATCATATTAGTATTATTTTAAAAGTATAAGTGAATTTTTTTTTTTTTTTTAATGTGTTGTTACTTGTTAGACAATCATTAAATACCATTAAGTTTTTTACTATTATTATGGTTAAGGCGGGAAGGTGAAAAAGAATGGAAGTAGTCCGTGAGCGGCAGGTGTCTTTGTCCTTTGAGAATAAACACAGTGATTGGCAAATAATGGGACATGGTGTATATTATTATCAATGACATATTCAAGATTAAGGAAATGTTGAGTCCGTCACAAATTTTGAAAGGAACCAATATTTTAGTTCAAACTTCAAAGGTAGCTCTTGATTACAATATGTTTATACGTTTATATATTAGACAAAAACAAATTAATTGTAGAAAAAAAGTTTTTGTTATTCTACATTTGAAAATTAACGAAGTCTTGTGTTGTCCATAAATTTTTAAACTATTCATTTACACAAAATCCGCAAATTTTCTAAAAAATAAAAATAGTATGTAAAACTAATAAGCGTATAGTTATATTGCACGTGAACTATAGACTTTTGTTATTTAAATACTCGTTTCATATAATTAATTTAAACTTATTTATCAATGTATTATAACACGAGCTTAAAATCTACATTTTATTTTAATGGATTTGATTGTATTTGATTATGAAGAGTGATAAATGAATTATTTAAATCTATCTAAATGTAATTTAACGTTAAAAGCTTTGAAGCCTTAATAATTTCCAAACTACAATTAAATAAAACAAACTCGTAAACAAACAGTTTATTTGTATTTTGTTCTCTTTTAATTAATCGTTTTAATGATAGCCGTTGAAGTAAAAGTTTTCGTATTATTTAGATATGAGAAAGTTATAGTTGTTGAGTAATATTATTTTTCTGCTTAATACGAGAATATCAAAATTTGTAATCAATGCACTGTTCATATATATATTATAGGTTATGAAAACTACTGATATTCACAGGTTAGGAAATACATTTTTTTGAAGAAAATAACAAGTCATACATAAATTTACATCATACAATATTCTATTATAATTGTCGTCGTAAGTTAAAGTTTCACAATCAAGACATATCTTGTCATGTAATTTCTTGTTAAAAAAAAAAAAATAAAATAAAATAAAAACGCATTAAGAGGACGCCGCACCGGCATGTGTTGTTTCTGTCTTACATACATACAACATAGCAAATTTTCGTTCAGCAGATTTCATTTTATGTTGTTAGCTTTAACATTAGAGTAAATTTACCTGTTATTAAACTTAAAGATAAGAATTGTATCTAGGCAATGACATAGGATTTTATTGATATTTTAATTTTAAGCTGAGTTATATAGCCATATAAGATATTGAAACTTTAAAATGTTCATAACTCACTTTAAAATTATAATATTAACAAAAGCCTAAGTCATTGCCTAGATAAAATTCTTACATTTAAGTTTGATAATAGGTAAATTTACTCTTATGTTAAAGCTAACAACATAAAATGGATTCGGCTGAACGAAAATTTACCATGTTATATGTATGTAAGACAGAGATAACACATGCGGGTGCAGCGTCCACTTAATATATTATTTGATAATATAAGCTTACGTTTTTAACTGTTTGATATATTTTTATTGGCTTGATTAATAAATTTTTATATTGCAGAAGCATACGATGCATATTTAATTTAATTTATATTATCGAGCATAATATTATACGTTTGAAAAAAAAATTAACCGAATACAATTTTATACTAATAATAATTGTTGAGCACCTATTTTGATTTAAAGTTTGTATTAGCAGAGTATTAAAATGAACATTTGAAAGTTACATCTTACACAGGAAATTTAAATATTGTATTACACATTATTATTCTCGTCATCTTTACTCATAACTCATATCTATTGCCGGTGAATTCGCTACTTTTAATAAATTTATATTCTATTAATAGTAGGTAGAAGTATACGGTTGACTCGCGGTGATTAAAAGAATGATAAATATTTAAAAATGATTAAAACCAGCCATGGAGTAATAAGCACGCCTGTGGATATTACCACGATAAATACGATACATTTTAGGAATGTTTCGCAAATATGCTGTGTTATAATATTTACTCGGTCTGCTTGAAAATAACATAGATTATATTCGTGGGTTAAAAGTAAATTAATGCACGAATAAAACGTTCGATAGATTATTATATTATTGTTGTACTGCAGAACTGAATAAATTCGATTTCTCCGGTACAAGGAGACTCGTATACCTACCTAGTCTGCATTTTTCAATAGCGTCAAAGTCTGTTTTCGCACACATGTTCAATCAATCGTCGTTTCCCTCGCGATCCGTACCAGCCAATCGTACATAATTATCTCTACCGTATAATATGTATAATCACATTTTATTCATCCCTTCTCGAACACGCGCGCACACACACAACAGTTGAACAGTGTACCGTTCACTGCTAAAGACCAATATACCCTTCTGGTTTATGTTCCTCACCACAACTCTGCTGCTTCTTGTTTTCAAACCTTATTATTATATATCAGTTAGGAGGTCCCCAAACCCCCTTCATTCCGCTTAAAATCACACCGTAAATAGCACTCTCCACCACTGGCCGCCCTTCGATCGCGATGTGTTCGCAACCCTTTCATCGACCCATTATCACTACCCAGGGCATTTCCATTTCGCCCGGAAAACCTTCGCCGGCGATCTCCTCCTGCACCCCGACATCGACAACAATCGCTCGGTTCCATCTTAATACTCTTTCGTGTGTTTTCGTGCTCTTCTGTCGGCGGCTCGGCCGCACGCGCGCGTGAATCACACGCCCCATTTCCATCCGTTCAAAACGCCGTGCGATTTCAGATAACACACGCTCGCATGTTAATAACGTTAATATCATACGCACGCCACGTAAGCCGCCACCAGAACATATTATTGTACTATCGTTGTGTTGGCTACGTCGTCTGGTTTGAATTTTACATTTTTTTTTATGTTTGATTTTTAACAATTTTTATATCGGCGATATAACGTGCGCACACAATATGGTGGTTTTTTTTTTTTTTTTTGGCTTTTCCCGAATACTTTATATCGTTGACAACAGTTGTAAGAATACGACTTTGTTATACATAATGGATGTAATGGTTTGTATACACTATAAAAAATTATGAGTACTGACGATGTGAACATTATATACATATATATATATATATACCGCAAATCGCATAGCACTTTACCTATAGCTCAATTTGTAAATTTGTAGCGTTTATAAAATATATTTTTTCTGAGAAAACCTTAAATTTATCAAAAGAAAAATACCTTTATTGACGACATTTTATGTAAAAACTAAAAAGAAAACAACGCTTAAAACGTAAAAGCCAAAGCAATAAAAAAAATATGAAATATTTATTTTATTTATTTTTTTTTTTTTATATAGAAATTATAAAATTGTGAAAATCTTCTTGATAAAACAAATTTATTTTTTATTCTTTTATGAGTATGGATTGTATTTTTTGATAACATTTTTGATAATAATTTGACTATACTCAATAGCTGTCCCATCGCGCGTAACCACGATCTCAGAAGAAAGAAAATTCAATGGAATTCGAAAATTCAGTGTACATTGTTGTTTTTTATTGAATTCTTTTTTTTTTTGAAAAAGGAAAAAATATTTTAACTAAATTTAATATAATGTTTATAGATGCACGATATTTTTTGTTTATTTTTTGGCGCGTAGGTACATGAATAAATAAGGTTTTTTTAGACGTGAGCTGGCCACATATAGTTGTTCGTGTATAAGAAGCATGGGTTCTTAAAATCTATTTGACACACCTGCAGCGATTTTCCTTGTGCTTTCTTGATGGCTATTGTAAAAGCAAGTCACACCGAAAACTGCAAACATTTGAATTTAAACGGCATATCTGATGGGATCATTGCAAAATGTGGTAACAG